GTAAGTTTTTCTCTTATTAACAGGGTAAAACTGGGACTAATGCTTCCCGACTCAAAGTGTTCTACTTTATCTCATTAATTTCCGAGGCCTTTAATGCAGCCTTTTATCTAATACTGTCACAATAGCTGAAGATCACCATTCAGCTCTCTACTTTCACTGGGGAATCTCTAAACTCTGAGACTCCAAGCACAGCAGACAATTCAGAGTTGCTTTCTAGAGGCCTGGGCAGTGGTGGCCAGTGCTGAGCCTAAGGTTTCCCTAGGCACGCAACAGGCTGGTGGGACTTTGCAAGCTGACAACCAATCCACTGCTAAGACCCTGATCTACCTTCCTTCTACTCTCCCCCTCAGCTTACTCAAATCTACTTCCTTCCCTGTTTCCCCTGGCCTCTATACTCCCAGAGGGAACCTCTTACTGTTTTCTAGGATACCCATCACTCATGAGCTTGCACTATCATTTGGGCATATGTCTTCTGTCCAAATGAGGAAAACTTTTGTGTAGCCTCCTGTAAATCCAGTGCCTAGCTCAGTCATCACTGGGCATCAGTGCACCGAAAAGACTATCTCCCAAGGGGTGAGATCCCCACCCATTTCAAGCCACCTAAAAGTTATCTTGAGAACAGCAAACATCTAATAATTGGTAAAGCAGAGCTACTGTTTACCAAGTTTGGATAAGCTAGGTTCCCAGCTTTCTAATTTGGTTTTATGAGCCTTGAGAATTTGTCCTGTTTTTTTTTTTTTTGTCCTTAGGATCAGTGTGTGCTTTAAGAGAAAGCACCAGAATTTGAGTTTGATGCTAACCTTAGGCTTGCCTGCTGTCTTTTCTCTCTCGCTTTTTTTGCCTGCTGTCTTCTAAGTGGCAGTAATCTTGAACTTAGTCCTAGGTGCTTTCAGGACAGGGTCCCTTAGCAATGGAAACAAGGAGATAAAATGAACTGTTGATGCCTTAACTTCTTTTGGTGAGAAGTACTTAAAAGTTAAATAAAGACACCAACTCATTAACCAAATAATTTACAGGATTGCTATTCTGGTGTTTAAAAGCCTGAAGGCTGGTTTGAATGCTACCACTAACTCCTTTGGGGCAAGTCCTGTGCCTTTCATGGGCTTCGGTTTCCTTCCCTGCGAAACAGAGACGGCCAGATCGACACCTAAGACTGCTTTTGACTGCAGCTTCTGTTGTCTACATAATGCTGTGGGTAGGACTTGTCCGCATATGTTCAGAGAAAAACAAAGGACAAAAGTCTATTAAACAAAGTTGGAGAAGACCAAGAACTGCATTAAAGTTTCCCTTTTCTTACGGATATTGGATTATTTATATGTCAAATAATTTGTTAAGACTATTGAAATGCCTCTAAGTATTCACTAGAGAGCTGATAGGAATGGGGGGAAAACACTATTCTCTATTTGGCCCAATTGTGAAATAAATTATTCCACCTCTTCTCTACCTATCCACATGGTCCTAGGCTCCCTTTTTAGAAGCCCACCTTCTCCTCCAACTTCTGATTCTCATTCCTGTTAATTTACAACATTCTGTAGGAAGCCCTTGTTAATAAGCCAACCTGCTTTTTCCTCCTGTGACCTTGATTAGCATTTAAGTCTTCTACAAACTTTGCAAATTAAGTTCCTTTAGGGCAAGTCCAGACCATTCACTAACCATAGTGGAGGAGACAGCCCCAGAATGAAGAGCTTGTATAATACAGGTGAGCTAAATAACACTATAAGGATTCCAGTAAAAGAACAGAGTATACAGGCATACCTCATTTATTGTTTTGTTTTGTTTTGTTTTGACCAACTGAAGACCCTCCAGCAGCAAAAAGATGACTGGCTTTATTGTGGTGGTATGGAGCTATACCTCTTGAAGGAGGTATGCCTGTATGTGGAATTTGGTTCAATTGAGACCTTAAGGGAGATTAACACTTTAAAAAATTTTTTTATTGATTTCAGAGAGAGGAAGATAGAGGAGAGAGAAACATAAATGATGAGAGTCATTGACCGACTGCCTCCTGCATGTCTCCTACTGGGGATGGAGCCCTAAATCAGGTCGTGTGCCCAGATGGGGAATCTCTGGGTTCACGGGTTGATGTTCAACCACTAAGCCACACTAGCTGGGCAAACTGACACTTTTTGGTCTGTTTCAAAATTATCCTAAATTGCCAAAGACTGGGACAAGGTGGCTGCAAAGGAGTTTCTATTTAATGACACCTGAACCAGATTATCTTTAAGATTCCTTCCAGTTCTAACATTTCTGAATGATATCAGTATATTGTATAAGTCAGCACCCCAGCTAAACTTTGGAAGCCGAAGCCAGGAAAATGGAGTAATCTGGGTCTTTGTTCACCACTTTAATATTTGTAGCACAAACAAAACCAACCAACCAAAAAACCCTGAATGCCTATTTACTGCTTCCTAAATTAACACTTGACATGTAAATTTCAATGTTAGTTTCATAAGCAGAGGCAATGGCTTTACTCTTCTGTGCTCTAGCTCCAGCCCAGAACATTAGCTGACCCGTAACAGAGGCTCATACATTTAACACTCCAAACTACTGAAGGGACATATTATGTGACCTAAAGCAACATACTTCATTACTATAGGTGTTTTCGTTCACAAAGGAAGGAAGAAAATACCAGTGTTTCTGTCAACTTGGTGTTCCTGACAACACAGGAAATAGGATGTGTTCCATGTCAAACAAGTTTGGGAAACTTGAACAAGAACACTGTGAATCTCAAAAGGGATGGATGATGGTAGAAGATTCAAAATACAGCCTGAACTTGAGGCAGTGAATTCCTCCTTATCTGGAGCACTTACTGACACTCCCAGGCTGTATAGCAACCCTATGTCATGGGTACCCTTATCTTAGGGATAAAGGAATGCTCCCCACAGGTTTGAAACAACTTGTCCCAAGTCTCATGCAGTCAGTTCAGACAAGCCATAACTAAAAGTGAGTCTAACTCCAAAGCCCATGGTATCAACCACTGTTGACTGTGGAGTTGTGACAAATTCTACAGGTGGGGAAAGTTTTAACAGTACAGTTGACTCTTGAACAAGGGCTTGAATGCACAGGTCCACTTATATGCTGAGATATTTTTCAATAAATACTACAAATATATTTTTCTTCCTTATGATTTTCTTAACATTTTCTTTTTTTCTAGCTTACTTTATTGTAAGCATATCATATATAATACATCGGTAAGGCTTCCGGTCAACAGCAGGCTAATTAGTAGTTAAGTTTGGGAGAATCAAAAGTTATACACAGATTTTTGGCTGTGTATGTGTGTGTGTGGGGGGGGGCTGAGGTGGGTGCCCCTAACCCCTGCGTTGTTCAAGGTCAACTGTATCTACTTATAGGAAAAAAAAGACTTCAAACCCAGGTTGAAGTTTCAAGACTGGCATCAATGAACCAAGAGTAGAAGGGGATCATTTGGCAAAGCAAATTCCCACACCCCAAGGTAGCTGGGTAATACTGAAGTTCAGACCACTCATTTTGGAGAAGACAGACTGAGAATGAATTGAAGAGCTTATAAAATACAGGTGAGCTAAAAGAATCTATTGGAAAGTCTTTTCAAAACAAATATATTCACACTGGGGGTGGGGTGGGCTTTTCAGGATGGATGAGGCCCGGATAGACTAATAGGAAGCCTGTTTTGAAAAAGGACTCCAGGCGATATTTACCATGTCCCTCAACCCACTGTCAAACACTGACTTGAAATAGGACAGGGAGTTCTCTTGGGATGTTTGTAGGATCTTAAAGTCAGGCAAAAGCTCCAAACAAAATGCCCTATCCAAACCCACCCCAAATCCTACCCATTCTTAAAGGTGAGCTCTAGTTCATCCTGGGATATGGAGGGGACCATTACCCATTTGAAAGGGTCTAGGCCTTAAATCAAGACAAATCTGGACTCACATCACTGGATCTATAAAAAAGTTTGTAAAGAAACCAGTAGTAAAATGTGACTTCCCTTACAAGCTGATTAACCTTCATCATTGTTCATGTTTAATTCTAATTTCTCCGTTTACAGAAAGAGGAGAGGACTTTTAGAATTATTATCTGTAAGTCGCTTCTGGAAGACATCTAGGACATAGCTGGGACTCAGATTAGTGACCTCTTCCCTGAAGAAGTCTCCTCAGACCCTTCTAGCCCACTGGCCCTCTCCTCTCTGAACAAATCCTTGGCTTCATTTAGCAAGAACAAGATGTGAGTACTGAGAGCTCAGGATGAACTCACTAACTGCAATGAAGCCTCAAACTAGGATTAGCCTTCCCGAGGAAGGCAAAGCCCCTCTGCTTCCCTGAGCCCTCTTTCCTACAAATAAAATCACTTCCAAGCCAATCTATTAAGAAATAGATTTAGGGATGTAAAATGGACGAAAAAATATGTTATTGTTATGTGACAGCTCCGGGCCCACCTGGAGGATTATTATTCTGCAGGCCCCAGAGGACTCGGCCAGAAAACCGACAGTTTGCACGACTGCCCTGGGATGAGGGGCTGGCAGGCTCAGAGGGAAAGGAAGCAAGAGTTTGGGGGTGGAGCTGGGGGAGGGGGCTGCGAGGATATTTGGAACCAGACAGAGAAGGGGTGCGGGTAGGTCCAGTCAAGTTTCTTCTTTTTTGTTTGAGGGGAAAAGAAGAGGCCCTGGGGAGTGACGGAGCTTATGCAGTCCTTTCACCAACTCCGAACCCAACCCCCTCCACTGCCCGACCACTCTTAAAAGTACTAAACGTTTCATAATAATGGCTCGCACGTATTGAGTACTTATTAAGACAATGATTAGAACTTAGCGAGCGCTTGTTATGAAAATACCAGCTAACGCTTGCGCCAGGGACTACCCGAGGTCCTGAGCCGAGCGGTGGGGCCCAACGCCTGGGCCCCAAAGAGGAGGGTGTGTCTGGGCCCAGGGTGACAGGACCGGGGCCTAGGGGTCCCCAGGCCACTTCGGGCCAAGCGGTCCACAGCAGCGGGCCCAGGCCCCGCGGGGGCGGGGTGGGCCGCAGCGCTCCTACCTTTGAGCGAGGTCTCAACCAGGCGCAGGTAAAGCTGCGAGCTCTTGTTGCCGTGGCTCATGCGCTGGGCCAGGCCGTTGCGCTGCAGGACGCACTCTTCAAACTGCACCACGTTCTGGTGGCGCCGCTTGAGACTGGTCAGAGCCCAGAACTCCGCCAGCGCCAGCTCCACGTTTTCCGGGGCATCGCAGCGGATCTTCTTGACCGCCACCCGGGCCCCGCTGCGCCCGGCCACTGCCTCGTAAACCACGCCGTAACTGCCGCGCCCGATCTCCGCCAGCAGGC